CCCAAGTTTTGGGATCAGAATTTGGGGTTCCCCCAGGATTTGGGGTTTCCCAAGTTTTGGGATCAGAATTTGGGGTTTCCCCAGGATTCGGGGATTCCCCCAAATTTTAGGGTCAGGATTTGGGGGTCCCCCCAAATTTTGGGGTGAGGATTTGGGGGGGTTCCCTGACTCCCCCCCACCCCCGTTTTCCCCCAGGACATGGAGGTCAGCCCCACCGAGCTCATGAACATCCTCAACAGGGTCGTCACCCGCCGTGAGTGCCCCCCAAAAATCCCCATTTTTGGGCTTCCCTGGACTCTTTTGGGGTCCCTAAAGATGGGGGACGGGTTCCAGGATTTGGGGGGGGTCCCCCAAAATTTTCTCCTCCCCAGATCCCGACCTGAAGACGGACGGGTTCGGGCTGGACACGTGCCGGAGCATGGTGGCCGTCATGGACGTATCCCGAGATTTTGGGGGGATTTTGGGGGGATCCTCGAGGGGTTTTGGGGTGTAGAGAAATGAGGGGGGGGTCCCCTTTGTCCCCCAAAATGTCCTTGACGAGCCCCCGACCCCCAGAGCGACACCACGGGGAAATTGGGGTTTGAGGAGTTCAAATATCTCTGGAACAACATCAAGAAGTGGCAGGTGAGGACCCCAAAATTTGGGGGGATCCCCCCCCCCAAAAAAAAAAAAAAAAAAAAAAAAAAAAAGGGGGGGGAGGTCGAAGTTGAATGGGATCCTAAAATTGGGGTGCTCAGCATGAAAAGAGACCCCAAAAATGGACGGAGAAGCCAAAATTGGGGGGATCCCCAAAATAAAAGAGGCCGAAATCGGGGAGAGCCCAAAATTGAGGAGAACCCAAAATTGGGTGGGAGGCACCCTAAAAATTGGGGGGTGGGAGCCCCAAAATCGGGGGTGGGCATCCCAAAATCGAGGGTTACTCAGAATTGGGGAAAACCCCCAAAATTAGGGGGACACCCCAAAATCTGGGACCCCCCAAAATCAATGTGGGAGCCCAAAATCGGGGACACCCCAAAATCGAGGGAAAAACCCAAAACCGGGGGTGGGACCCCAAAATTTCCCCTCTAAAATTCCAACCCCCCAAAAAAATACGAGGGGGGGGTTATAGGGAACCCCCTCAAGCACCCCAAAAAAATTTTTGGGGGGGTTATTTAGGGGGGTGGGCAACGCCAAAATTCGGAATTAACGATTTTCACGTCCCGTTCGAGCCCCTTAAATGGGGGTGGGGGGAGGATTTTTGGGGTTTGGGAGGGTCCCCAAATTTTGGGGAGGGGGTGAGGGGGATTTGGGGGTTCGGGACCCCCCAGAATTGGTGTTTTCCCCTCCCCCAGTGCGTGTACAAACAATTCGACACCGATCGCTCGGGGACCATCGGGCCCCAGGAGCTGCCGGGGGCCTTCGAGGCCGCAGGTTTG